AGCTGCCTCGAGGGACACCTCGCTTAATTAAATTAATTACACCTGCTGACTGCTGACCTCTCCTTGTCAGGCTCATCGTAGGCAAGTGTCGATTGTGTAAATTTTTTTTTACCCATCTAAAAGGTCATCCACATTAAACTACTTCGTTTGCAAGTGAGTTGGGAGGCATTTGTTTACTGATATGGAAAATAAAATATATCATGGTCACAAAGGCGGTCTGCGTCTAAACCTTTTGGGTGGTTTACTTAATCCTGATCAGCGAAACTAAACGATACTAAATGGACATAAACATTTCTGAAAGCATCAGTTTTTTGCAGTAGTGTTTAAAACCTCACCATCTGAATGTATTATATTTCGTTTTACTCCCTCAAGATGAGCCTCAACCGATTCTTCAATGTTTTTTTTTCAGACTTTCGCTGGTCAGGAATGTGGGCTGCGGCTGTTCGGATTTTACATCGCTGTTGTTGTAGCGCAGCCTGGCAGTTCTGTATAATTGGCAATTCTTCAACACATCAGGCGATGTTGAATGAACGATTCCAACACTGGTTCCAACCAGCTCACACGAGGTAGCGACGGTGACCAATAATGTTTTTCTAGCACCGCGTAGTCCTTCTATCTAGTACACATACTGCGAACGTGACAGCGAACCAAATTGAGTCAGTTTTTCTGTACTGCGCTTTCAAATTAGTGATTGCCTGACAGCCATATTTGCCATACCTGTCGCTATCGGCTTGAGCACAAAGATCAGGAAGAACAGAGCCTTGTGTCGACTTAACAATTAGGGATCCTCCCAAGGTCTCATCATGCTTGGCATACGTAAGTGTGCAGTATCCTCGTTAAGGACAAAAACTGGATCTTTTCTCAGGCAAAACCACTGTGTGATTGCGGTAGTGTTTTATGCCTCGAGTGTGCCAAGGAAACATGAGGAATAACCCTTCATTAGTTTTTAAATAGCAGATCGAGCTTGCGGTTGCTAATCACATGCTATACAGGGGAAGAGGATACAAGTGTCATTCCCGTCACTTTTGAAAGTGAATTTACACTGTGCTGAACTCATCACATATGACAGTTGAAGAACGCATTTATTATAAAATACCAGAAAGCGCGTCGTAGCAACCTTCTACCCAAAATTCTTCTAGGGAACGTGGTGTACAGTTCAAAATCAACAAGGTCCTTGACGGATCGTCTGTTCCGGGGTTGTCTGAAAGGCTGCTCAGAACAGCTCTTGCATAGTCAGAGCGACTGCCTCTGCGAAGTTATCCATCAGCTGACCGATGGAAGAAATTATGTAACTTCGGGCTGGAGCGATTACGAAAGGTCGTCATAAGTAATCTTATAAACATTCTACCTCAATTGAAGTGCCTCTATGGAACTCTCAAATAAGCTGTCCTGACAGGAGATTTCGACAGCTTGCAGTTTCATTCAAATTGTCTCATCAAAAATTTTCCGCATTATTTTGACATTCAAAGTGCTAGTTTGATGCCGGTGTTTTTCTACAGGCAGCAATGGCATGCGACTTCGCGATTGCGCGTTTTCGGTTTCTCCAGCGACTGCTTTTGGTGCACGGGCACTGGTGCTACGATCGTCTCTCGCTGACGTTCCTCTACTTTTTGTACAAAAATACGGTACGTTTACTTACCACTTTCGGGGAAACTTGGTTTCCTAACGGTGCTGCTGGTGAATTTCCAGTTTTCCCTGCGTACGCGAACGAAAGAATCCATAGAGAAGATCGGAGTCATCAGTATCTCCTACAGTACATACTCTTTTCATGGCAACTTGTGATAGCTTCTACCCTGCTCACATTCAGATTCAAAAGCGCTAAAGGCGAATAACACGAAAAAAGCGTTGCCTATTGCAAAGATTGGAGGTGAAAGGTAGCGGGGGGTAGCGAAAGGTGCACGGTCATGAGAAATCCGAGATAGAACGGCTCAAAACCCGAGACCCATCCCCACATGATTTCCGCCCTGGGCGAGATTTGACGGTAGATCATATTATCGACGTTCGCAGAGGGCATCCCATCAATCGATCGCGCCCCAAGCCAGCCAGTATTGGCCCTGCCGGGCAGCTCCGTGGAGATGCTCGTCGACGGCGCGGAGGCGCTCGCGTACTGGTGACGTCATTGTGACGTCAGCTGCAGCGAGGAAACAAGCAGCAGGCATTAGGCACTACAGCATCTAGAAATGACTAGGACGGACTTCTTTCCATCGAATTAAACTCGACTACGTACTGAGAAGGTTTCACAATTGAAAGCCTTGACTTCCTCTCCATTTTCGAATTCCAATTCTAAGTTTGAGGATGGTAGCTGTACGTAACACAGGAATTTCGCTCGCCGCGCAACTGATCGAACAATTTGCTACAGAACGAGAAACGCCAGTATTATCTGAATGAAGTAGGCAACAGCACTGGCCACTGCTGTCCCTGCCTGCCGCAGTCGTGACTTAACGACCCCTGCAAGTGCTCGCGTCCACGCCACAAGTCGGCTTTTCCACGGAGCTGCCGTGGATCGGGCCGGACCACGGCAGGTGGCGCTGGCCAGTTGCGGTTGCCTGCGCGGCAACGCATGTCTCTACACACATCTTTGGGGGCCCGCCGTCCTTTTTAAACATGCATAGTTCCTTTCTTCTGCACCATTTCATCGTAACATCCTTCTCTGAAGAGTCAAAATTGTCAAACTTCAGGCATCGACTTTTCAGTGATGAATTGGTCCATGGCACCTCACCAAGGAGTCTTCGAATTTCCTTAGGTTTTTCCTTCGGGGTGGATCAGCGCAAATATAAAAGGCAATCTCCGCATGTTCCTTTTCCTCTGAAAGCTGATTTCTCATCAACAATTCAGAATGATTTGACTAATAGGGGTGGGCTTAGACAGTCAGAAGTCGCGATCCGTTGGGGTTGAACTTCTGCCACATGGGAGTGCCCAATACACCATACCGACTTCTCGCCACTGGTGGCTGTATTGCATAACCTATGGGATGTCTCCGTTGTGCCATTTGGCTGCACCACAACGCACGGTCAGAAATTGCCCAGTCTATCCAGGTTCTTTTTCCACAGCATCGTGCAGGCATCGATACTGAAGTCAAGAAGTGGTCTGAATGTGAGTTGTTTTCGAGTGAAGGCGACCGTGTTGTATTTGATGTACAAGCGTCGTGTAATGGATTGATAGAACGTGCTCTCGCCCATGCTATGGCCAGGATTGGCCTTGAGCAGATTGGCGTCCAGACAATTTGAATCTCCGCTCATGCAAAACGAGGCTGTGGAAGAGCGTCTCGAGAAAGTAGGCATCAACCATTGGCAAATGGGATTACCAGCATTTCTGAGTGGTCACCTAAGGCATGCTCGGAAATTTTGTTCGGCATGTCGAAGATTTCGTGTGGGAATTTCTATCGCAATGAACATCAAGTGTTCGAAGGTTATAGATTCACCTCATTCAGTGGATCCTAATGTCACTGTCACTGTACTACTACGTCCTTCGAAGTTCTGAATAGAAGTTGGTGATTAGCCATGTGTACGAACATTTTACGCAACAACATGCAACAATCAAATTGTATTGATTGTGAGGTTTTGAGTATTCTTCCTTTGGCACGAGAAGGCCCGAGGCCCACTTCTGACCTTCTCACGTGTTGCACGCAAGTGAAGGTGAGACACTTTGATCATTCTGTCTGTGACGCCGATTCTTTCTCGATCATGCCCATTACTGATCGTGTTTCTTTCGGGCCTCTGCATAGTCCTAACGAAAACCGTAAGAAATTCTACAACGTCCCTTGCTGAAAGCTCCATTGCATTGGATAATCTTTGGACTCCTTTAATGAGTTCACCCAGTTTGCTACCCAGTCGACGAGGAATTGCCTGCAAATTCAACCACCAGAAAGCAAAGATAAAACAGTCAATTCTTTCGTTTATTGAGTTTCGACATCTGGAGACAGGCAATTTTGGAACACCCCGCAAAATAAAGCAATAGCTTGGAAGCAAGTTGCAGATTTGAGGGAACAGGTTGCCGAGCTATGAAAAATCAATGCGTTATGGAAGAAACTGCTTCAAACTGAGGCTGTTGTAGAAAGATTTCACACGAAAGTTATCCATGATCCATTTTGCCGATGGAACACCTGCCTATGAGGTGAGCGGTAATGTGCGCAGCGGAACATCTCATCGGTGGTCCGCACAAGGATGTTGATGCGCCTTTAAAGGCTCTCATTCCCTCTCACAAATCTGGTATTTTTTCAGTTCAGGATGGAAAAGCTGCTGTTACTTTCAGAACAACGTTTTCATACTACTGTTTTTCCAATTCTACAATGGTTGGAGTGCGTCGTTCACCACTGACCCGGTCTATTCAATTTTGT